TTTATTTAATCAATCACTAATAATAAAGCACTATTAATGTTATCGGTAATTATGCACAACCATCAATAAATTGTGCTATATTTGCAGCATGATAAGTCATGTATTGTATAAATTATAGCCCAATTATACCAGTGAAATAGCTATATCTAACATTATAAAACGCATTAACTTGATATCTTTGAATGAATATTTGAATTTTAAATGGTTGCAAATCTTGAAACACATTGCTAACTAGTCTTGACATTATCTTCACAAGCAAAGTAATAGTATTTAATATACTTTTTTATGCAGTTTCTTCACTAAGAATCGTATATAGAATCTGTGATTCAACCGTTGCCATTTTTCAATCCTATAAGTTATGACTTAGTATGCCTCAAGTATTGTAAGTATTTAAGAAGTGCAATATTTATCGCTGTATTGCTGCAACATTTAATTAAATACCTACGCAAAACCGCTGACCATTAATTAGCAGCTTAAAAGCTTGCAGTTTTTTATTAATTTTTTGCTGAGCCTCTTGCTGACGCTAATTAAATAAGCCCAAAAGTATGCAATGCGCCACAACCAACTTTTTGCGGCTAGGCAGCATTTAATTACTCACCAAAAATGAAACAACAAAAATTTCGGCTAATCTATGGAAAGTTCCTCACCAAAATCCAACTAACTGCGTGTGAGAAAAAATGCACAACGAGATATGAAATTCATTTCGAGTAGAAGTGAAAAGTCGCGTAACTGCAGAAACAACAAACAATGCGAAAAGGACAAAATAAAATGGCACAGCAAAAAACTGAGCAAATCAAAAGTTAGTCAGCATAACGAAGGCGAAAAAGTTGCTGATGAACTGCGTCACATGTGGAAATTATTATGTATGTAAACAAAAGAGGATAGCACTTTATAGTCGACAACGCGAGTATCCTATATTTTAGAAATGTTCGTGAATGTGTAATGGAGAAAAAAATGAACTGAATGATATAACAAATATCGAACCTGAATGCTAAAAAACTGAAAACTTCACATTATGAAGCCTTCAGGGCGATGTTACTGCTATCTTTAAATAATCGGAGTAATGTTTTTAATGTATTTAATAACAAATTGTCTGTATATCAATTTGTTCCTTGTTTCCTGACAAAAAAGTCCGCAGCACATAACTTATTGTTATTATTATTCATTTCTACTAAATTGCTAACATGCTTCCAATTTTTTCCCAGTTAACATAGTTTAAACCATTAACACATTAGGTATTAATATAGTTTTCAAATTTGAACTATATTTTAAAACCCGATTTTTACTGTAAGCTGAGAACAACAGGATATATTGGCCTCATTAGCTACACACTTTGTTATTTTCTTGCAAGCACTATAAAAGCATATTATTTACCGAAATTATCTAAAAATTTCGAATTGAAACCAAAATAAAATATTTTTTTAATTTAATATTTTTTACGAAGTGAAATAAAATAAAGGTTTTTGCCACAAGAAAGGACTAATTGATCTGTAATATTAATAATTTCCAACAATTTTAAGCTAAAAATTAGTACAAGCAATATATTGATGAGACAATAAATAGTTCTGATCTTGTTGGGGTTTACAGTGGCACTGACTTTATTAATTTCTATTAAACTTTAGCTAGCGTAGAATTACAGTCTTAACATAACTATGTTATCAGCTTAAGCTTAATAGAATAGAATAGATTATGCGCGCATGGTTCAGAGTCAATGTTCCAGTGAATTCATACATTACTTAAATGTCAATTTAAATTGCAGTGACGATCTATGGCACTCCAATATAATACGCATATTTTGATTTAGCCTCTAACTTTCAATATACTCGTATGAACCATGATTGCAGGGTATAACAAAAATGCATACACTGCACTACTAACTGAGTGACTTATGAATATTAAGTTCTAAGCTGGAAAACTGTCAAGTTGTGGCATAGTAGACATTATTTTTGACTACTTTTTCATATCACTATAAGCGGCTTAGATGGTTGTGTAATTTGTGAGCATACAGTGCGTATACGTAACATTTAGACGAAGAAATAAAGCGGTAAGCAGTTTTTGTCTTGTTTTGTTTTTGGCTGCAATAAAATTTACATATTTGGGCCAGGGAAATTAATTATAATGCCGCCACAAATTCAAGCCGCACACAGACACACACACACCAATATATGGAGGAGAGAGTGGCGATGTTGAATTGAAAAAGCCATGAATATCAAATGCGTTTGCAGCTTTGGCTTTGCCGCAGCTCAGGGTTTTCCCATTGAGTGTGTTGGTAATTTAATTTGGCGCAGTTATCTCTTTACTCTTCCACCGTCTCACCATCCGCAACACACATGCCAAAACTCATTTCATGGGTCAAAAAGTACACTCATCTGCAACTGAAGGCGGCATTGCGGTTCTTGCCATTGTTGTTGTTGTTGCTGCTGCTGCTGCGTCCAAAAAGCCAAAAAATTGATTATGGCATGCGGCGTTGGTTGCCAGAGGGTCAGCTTGAAAAACAAAAACAAAAAAAAAAAAAGAAACAAAAAACGCCGGCACAAGCAACTATCATCAAAATCCTATTAGTTGGCATACAACTTCAATGCCGTGCCATGTTAGGAACAGCCAGTCAGACAGCCACATTCATAGAGCTGTGCCCAGTTAGTCAGACGGCCCCTTTTTCTTACCCGCTCGCTCGGTTGCCGTTCGGTTGCCGTTGCCTGCATTTTGTCAGCATTTATTTGGCAAATTAATTCCCAAAAAGGTAAACTTTCGCTCGTTGGCTGCTGCGATTTGAAACAATCAGCGTTTGACCAACAACAGCAACAAAAAGGACAATGCCGAAAAGGACAATGCCAGAGTCCTTTTGTTGCTGCCTCTGCCGTTGCAGCTGTTGTTTGCCCAACCAACCACCTCTGTTGATAATCTAGCCAACCCTAGGTAAGACCCAACCCAACCCAATCCAACCCCAAACCCAAACCCCTTCCATATCCCCCCTTGGGCAACATCACACAATTTGTGACAATTCCTTTTTGTGGATTAATATTTGCTCTGGTGCTGACCAAAAACCGGTTGCGCTTTTATTTGCAACGTTGCTTCGTCCTTTCTCCTCCCCACATACCTCTTATTTGCTCTCGCACTCGATTTAAATTAACATGCGCATATTTTTATGTGCCAGCCAAGAAATTGGAAAGATCTATGCCAGAGATTTTGCCACGTTATGCGTAGATTTTGAGGGGCGTGTGGGCAAGGTGCCAATTCCAGGGGTTTGGTCTTGCCGTTGATGGCTAGCCAAAGATAATTATTTTTAATGTTGTGTTCATTGTTTTAGAACTTTATAATATTTTGGGACCGCTTCTGTCTACCGCATTGCCTAGATGGGCAGATAAGGTTGAAAAGTTTTTGATTTTCCAAAAAAGGTGCAAACATAAGGGACAAACCTTGAAGGAAAGTGTCAAATTACATGTTTAGAGCACTAGCAGTGTTTTAATTTTTTGGTTAGTTAACAACTTAAATTACGCTTTTGTGAATTTGAAAGGATTTGATATCTTTTGTTAGTCAATTGAATGAACCGTTTAGAAATTGCTTTCGAATCGAAATTAATTTATATTCTTTAAAACAATTTTTTAAGTTGTAACGAGCAATCTTTTTATTATTATTACAATTATATGTTGTATCAAACAAAGTGTTTAACTTTTAACTCGAAAGATTATCAATAAAACACTAAACATGTTATAGTTTCAAAAAGTTATCAAATTTATACACTTTTAGAAAAATACTGGACTTGACTATAACCAATAGCGAAAGGTTTAAAAATTTAATTATAAATGGTTTTAAAAAGGAAAAAAGGAGCATTCGATTCAAACCGAGTAGATTAAATAAATTTATTTTGGAGAGTGTTATCATTTCTATTCTTGGATAATATATGAAGTAAGAAGTAATTGAAAATATGGACAAGCTAGATTTGTTCTCTCTTTTAAAAAAGGCAGTTAATAGCCTTCAAGTTCTAATGACTCAATGGTAGTCATATTTTTTCAGATAAATAATGATTTTAATTATTTGGTTTTAATAATATAATAAATTAGTTTATGCGCGTAATTAAAATGAACTTTCTTTTTATTTACTATTACGTAATTTGCATCTACAAAATTTGGCTGAATTTAAATAAAATTTCAAGATAATATTTCCATAATATTTTTCAGCTTTTCAATAAGGTTTTTGTATAAATGGATATTCATGCTCAACTCATTTACCATTACGTAATTTGTGTCTACAAATTTTTATTGAATTAAAATAAAATTTCAAATTAATATTTCCATAATATTTTTCAGCTTTTCAACAAGGTTTTTGTATAAATGGATATTCCTGCTTCTTTGCTGCTAATCATTTGATCCACCACATTGTCCACCGAGCTAGGAGTGCCGATTACGGATGAGCCTGGACTTTGTCAGACAAAGTGTTCCTTCTACCTTCGCCTAAATATTGGCTGTTAAACGGTATGTCCGCGAACTCCATTGTATTTGAAGATCTCCTTAATAACCAGCCTGTCGATGCCGAAGCTGTTTGACAGCGTCTTGAAGTATTTACAGGTATTAAATGTTTAAAAAGGTTAGTTAGCTTAAGAGCATCACATGTTATTCATATTTAATGTTTGATTTCAATGCAGTCAGTATTTTATACTCCATATATGCTGGGTACCATTAATAACCTAGATATCGATCTGCCCAACTATAAAATATGGACAGCCAACAAACTTCAATTGCCAACGCCACAAACTTCACAACAAATATTTAATTCCTTGTACACTATTAAAAATATTATGAGTGTTGGCATAATTTCTAGAAACATTTTTTTAATTTTACATTTAATTGTAATACATAATTCAAAAATATTTCATCTAGACCTTTGACAATACTCAATACTCTCTCAAATATTCAATTATATTGACAAATTGTATGCTCATTTTATTTCCCAAATGCTTGAAATTTTCGTGCTAACTACAATTTCTGCAATTTTTTTGAATTTCACTTCGGTTTTGATTTGCCATAAAGCTGTTCAGGCGTTGGTATGTCGCTAACGAAAAAGTTCGCCGGAATGAAATGGAAAATCTTCTTCAGTACATCCAATAAAATATCCTCAATGGTTTGTGTGATGACAGTGTAGAGGGCATCGGCCAACATGCGCCAGTTATCATTGAAGAACTTATTGGTACTATCCTCTAAAAGAAACGAATGACATTACTTAGTATGAGTAATAACCAATTTGTGAGCAAAGTACTATACTTACCAAGCTGCTTATTTCCGTTGAAAAGATTGGAGAAATACGATTTTAGGCCATCAATTTTAAAATCTACGCGACAATTGGTGACATTATAAAAGGTATAACCACCCTTGGAATATAGGCGCGTCTTTGTATGCATCGTCACAGTCATATTTTCTGTGCAATAGATTAATTGGGTTACCCACATATTTAGAGTTCAAAGGTTACATACCTGCATCTAGAAATACTTGGCCACGCCCATTAAGCGGTATGAGCAATATGCGCCCAAATAAACTGTAATCGCCTTGCAGCTTCATCACAGGCAACATAAATGTGGTTTTCCAACTATAATCCTTTTTGAAAACTCTGACAAATGAATGGAATGCGAGAGAATACAAAACACAAGTAGTTACCAGTCAAATTCCTTTTCATAATTCCAATACTTACTGACTTTCGATGACGTTCGTGTGGCCAAATCCAATTATTTTCACATTGGCCAGTTCAACTTTCAGGTTGATTGCATTGCTGTTGCCTTGCGTTATCCTAATGCGATTCAAATAAAATGGATCAAAGCTCTTAATAGTCGTCAAGCCGGGTATGCCTGCAGGTAACATTCGATTTTCATGAGATTTTATGTCCCATAACTGAACAATGCCGCCATTACCACTCACCATCGTTCAACTTGTCGAATAACTGTTGTATGCTTTGCGTGGAACAGTTGACAAAATTCTTATCGGCTATTTTACATTCTTTGATGTAATCTGCTGCGGTTGAGTAGAATTTTGGTTTTAAGTTGAGCTGAGTTCAGAAAAATGTCAAACACATACGAAAAAAATGCAGAGAAACAAATCCGGTTTAGTGGTGCAAGAATTGACAAAAAACAAACTAAAGTGAGTTAGTTACAAAGTGCCAAGAGCCACAACCAAAATGATTCCCAATAACGATTTTTAAGCAAACAAATTTAATTGACTAAAAGTGCAATTTCATGATAATATATTGGCTTATACTTCCATAGATGTTGTACAAAAATGAAATATTTTCTACTCTCCTTGTGGTAAAAGTTGTTAACAAATTATGAATATGGAAAGTTTTGAGTACAATTCAATATACAAAGGATTTTATACAAAGCTGAAATCTTTTTCGATTACCAATATCAATTAGTTATAAAATGTTTTATAAAAGTTTCAAATAATTAGGCGGAAATTGATATCTGTGCAGCTCAATGGATTACTTTTAATATAATAAACAGACTGACAGCTCAACATTTGTGATTTTTTTGCTATTCATTTAACAAGTTTTTGATATATATTTGTGGATATATTAAATACATATGGGTAACAGATCCATCTATCAAAGTCGTTATCACATTGTATATTTGCCCCATATATTAATACTCCATGCGGAAACTAATTGCGAAACTACGCATCAACATGTTTGTGAACAGCTTGGCAGCTTTAAAATCATTACAGACATCCATCATCTGCTCATGGCATGTCCTGCTAGAAGATAAGCTAACGCTGAGAACACACTAACCTTCCAAAGAGCTCTCTATAGCGTCTGGGAGCACGAAGGCTGTTCAGCGGTGAGATCATCCGCACCATATAAAAGAATGGAGACAATAAACTCTCCCATTCTCTCTCTGGACATACCAAAGAAAAGAGGACTCAACAGGTCTACTCAGGGGGTTTTGTTTGGTAGCCCTGCATTTCTAAAAGCTGGGGAGCACAACAAACAACAGATGCGGGAAATGCAACGAACCACTAACCAGAAATAGATTAGAGTACCTCACTGGTTTGCCTCACTAAAGCAAAAGGTGGCTAAATGCTCTCAGCTGGATGCTGACGAACTTATTAATTGTTCTCCAAACTGATTTGCAATAAGAATCGATTGAAATCCGAATTTAAGTTCTATTCACTTAACATTATTAGGCGCTATTCTATTATTTATACACAAATATTAGCCACTAAGATGCAATTTCAGATTACATTTATACACTGTAAATAAAGTTAATATCAATACTCCTTTTAATTGACGTCATTTTGCTTGAAATCGGGACAGAGAAGTACCCATTGTTGTTCAATTTACACAGATCTATTGTTTTATTTTCTTTAAAATTTGTTAAAAACGATTGTTAACTAAACATGAATTATTAGTACAATCTAAATAGTACATTATTGAATTTTAAGATTATTTCAAACCATTATGAATACTTTTAACTGATGTCCCACATATGTATATAAGAAATTCATTCAACTTTTTGCTGATTGTACGATTTATGGGGAATAGGTATAGTATTATCTTTATTATATCCGTACGTATATGTGTGTCTGTAGCACTTACGCGGCTCTGTCAAAAATTGTAAATCACTTTTTGCCACATGCAACATGGAAACTAAACACACAATCCACAATTCGAATGCCCGCATTGTACGCAAAACTAAAGGTGTTTGAATATTTTCTTAATGATCCGTTCAGCAGTATTATTTAAACTTTTGCGCACGACAAGCGCTAACAAACTGTGAATGAAAACTCGTGGCGGCAAACGCTGAACGGCAAAACGCGTGAAAAACATTTTACAATTTTCATATTTCTCGCTTTCGTTGCGGCAGCGTGCGGAAAACTTGATTTCGTTTACGTTTCGCAATTTTCAAGCCAACTTGCCACGCAGTGGGCCAACTACGAGTATAAGCCAGAGAACTGTTTGTGGCACCGCTTCCATTTCGTCATCGGCTTCGACGTTGGCCAAAACACACCAAACACCGCCGCACTTGCGCAGTTCAGTTTTCATGTTTTAGTTTCTTGCCGCTTTTTGGTGAGGAAATAAAATTCGGTTTCTGGCAATCAAATGTGCAAATTTTGTTGTTGTCTTGCCTGCCGGTGTTGTTGTTGTTGTTGCTAAAGCTATAGCCGATTAATACTTACTTGGTGGCAAAGTTGCAACACTGTTGCCAAGTATTTAATTCTGGTATCGGTTTTGGAAATTGACAACTGGTTGAGCCAAACAGTTGCTTCGATACGCTAGTTTGTTTTATTTGTGGCTTTTTTTACTAAAGCTTGACTAGTTTCATAAAACTGTCATTTTATGTAGCTTGAACTTGATTGGTTACTTGGCGGTGGGTTAAAAAATTATACATATTTCCGTGTTTATTTTTTATTATTGCATTTCTTTCTATATACTTCGCCATACTTCTGAAATAAAATTATATTAAATTTACAAAAGTGCTCAGCTTTCAATCCATATAGCAATAGTGGAACGCACCGAGTCTTCATTAGTCATAAATGGTTTTCAAATTTCGCGACGAAATTATTTTCTTTATTTCATTTTTAATCAATGAGTAACGAAATTCATGTATATTTAAAATTACTTGAACTAAAAATTATTCTTTTACAGCCTTTGTTTTCATAAAAAACAAATTATTGTATTTGTTATATACTTAATACAACTATTTATAAAATCCTTGGATTTTAATTCAAAAATAAGCACATGCTATACTGCTTCGCTTTGTTCTTTCTTTAAAATATTAATTTATAAAAAATGAGCCTTTTTATTATAATATAAATTATTAATTATTATATTTATTGCAGTATAGAACTTTTACCATAAATTTGTTAACAAATCTATGCATTAATTTTAAATTTTCAGAAACGCGGCATTAAAAATACCTTCCTTGAATTTGATTTCAGTTATTCAAAACCGATTTTCATTTCACTAGTTTATTATTTACTTATTGTCAAAACTTTTCAGAAACATCGAGGCATTAGGTATAGCCTCCTTGAACTTGGTTTCCATTATTCAAAACCGATTTTAATTTTGGAGCTATATCACTAGTTTATTATCTGCTTATAGTCAAAACTTCCGGTTGATTTAAGAATTTCTAAAATTTCTCAACTCAATAATAATAATAATAACGCTATAGTATCAGAGGACATCTTAGGAAAATATTAAAAAATTTATATAACCAAGACTGAACAATTTGTGTACCTATTTGAAAAATGTCTTTTATTCAGCCTTATCCGCTTGCAGTTTTTCTTCGCATCACTTAGCCAAGAAATCTTGCAGACTAATTGCTCTCGGATGTTTTCTTTAAAAAATCACCTTTTTTAAATTTCGAAGGCCCTTAAGCTGTAAAGCTCCATTTCAGGAAAAAAAAAGAAAAGAAAAGAAACAATGAAAAGCCACTTTCATAATCACAGGGTGGCGTGCGACGTCACAGATAAGAGGGCTTCTGTAGGGTTCCACCCACAAGCTGCAACTTTTGCAGACGCCGCTGCCCGAAGTCAACACGTCGGCGTGCATGCCCGCCGGGGCCGGCATGCTCGAATGACCGTTAGGCGCATTAGTGTCCCTCAACTGGCATCTTAGTCTGCAAGAAAACTGACCGCAAGGCATGCGAAAGGGACGAGAAATGGGGCAACTTTGTCAGGACATTGTGCAATGTGCAACACAAAAACCGATTTTCATGCATGTCCAGCCATATATCAGACTAGATGTCAGACGACGTTGTGGTTGGCCTGAACTAAACTGAGCTGAACTCTTCTGAGTGGGCGTGGCACGCCCACGTCCAATATAGCAGACGTCGCCTAATCAAGCGCACTGCCTTTCCACTTCATTTCCTTGTGCGCTTTGCCTGCGTTTTCATTAGCAAAAGAAACTGCCGCCAAGAAAAACTTGCAGGAGCAGATGGAGAAGGTGGAGAAAATGAAGAAGGGAAAGCCGTTCGCTGCGTTGGACGTGAAAAATCACGATAAGATAGCAACCAATGGCCGAGCAACTGTTGTCCAACGCTACTCTCCACTCTCAAGTCCCTGCTCGAGTGTGTGAGTAATTTTTTTCCTTCTGCGCCTTTTGGCCCGCAGCTCACTGCCTGGCCTCCGGCAGACAGACGTTGGCTACAAATGTTGTTAAAGAAAACTTTGGCGTCCTATCGCGACGCTCATCGCCGTCTGTTGTGTCGCTTTCAATGGATTTATGTTCCCTCCTCCGCGATTTCTTATGCGTCTTCTTTTTGCTTTTGGCGTTTACGTCGAGTTTATAAATTTCTTGTTTCTTTTCGTTTTTGTTGTTGTTCGGTTGTTTTTTTTTTTTTTTTGAGCCCCATCGTTAAGCGGATTTTTCAATTATTATAAAGTTAAGTAGATATATTTCGGCAATTACGTAAATTAAATAATTTGCGAGAGTGTATTGCAGTAAGAAAAAAGGGTTTATTTACAAAATGCATGATTATCTCTCATTTTGTGCAGCAACGTAGTTTAATTAAGCTAGAGTTCATAATTTATTGTTAACTTTTCATTATTTTTGATCAAAACTTATCTGTTGATTATACAACATCAACCATTAATGCAGACACAACAGTTGATTACTCACAATGAGTTTTGAGAAGAGGACGTATACGATTAATCCACCAAAGTAAACAATTACGAGAGCTGTGGCAGTGAAACAGAGGCAGTTTGTAGTTTTAATACTTCTTGAGATCCTTGCTACTATACTGATCAAGAATATATATTTTATGATATCCTTCACGCCTCTCCCCTAGTAGACTCATTTATCCTTTGGGTACAGGCTATAGCATTGCCTATTATATAAATAATAATACATGCACATTTGTGGGAATGTATTTCAGATATTTATTTTAATTTATGTATTAACACACCAGGAAGGCAAATAAAGTGCTAAAAGTGCATTTAATTAAAGCAATCGCCTTTTCGTCTTTTAGGAAAAACCAATATGATCGAAATTGTTAAATCAATTTTATATGACAAGATAATCAGCTCAAAATTTTATAACGTTTCCAAAAATTGTGACATTGTCAAATGCCAATGACATTTGCATCCACTTGCTCAAATAATGCATAAATAAATACATGGTTCATAAAAAAGGTAAAAGATAGAAATGTCTCAATTGATTATAACAATAGCGTTGCATCTGTTATTTAAATTTACATTTTAATTTGTGTAAAAGAAAAAACCTGAAGCAAACACTTGTCTACAAACAAAATATTGTTTTACTTAAAAATGTTTGATCCAAAAAAAAAAAAAAACATTTTTCATATAAAAGACCAGAGCATCTAGGCAGCAGATATCATTCGCAAGTTATTATTTAATCAAAATGTACAAATTGGCATTCTTTGTTGGTCTGTTCTGTGTTTTCGGGCATTCCATTATGCCGGGCGCTGAAGCCATAATGGCACCACCGAGTCCTGTCTCGGGCTTGTTGGGCGCCTTTGTACAATGTATCGATAGAGGACTGGAAGCTGCATGTAGTCCTGTTGGCACCATAATTAATTCCTCGGACGGCACCAAATGCCAAGTGCTCAATTCCTATAACACCTTTGTTTTTCTATCTTGCATCCAAGAGGCGCTTTTTAGTCAACGTAAGTCGGTTTTAGTTTTAACATTTGAAAATTTCTAACTTATTTCTTTGGTTTCCTCTAGCACTGACTATTGTGAGTGACGAAGAGTGTGCATTGCTTAATGGTGGTAAGTCCAAAATATATTTACTAGATTTTTAAATTCGCATTTTAGTTTAACTATTATTTTCAGTTGCTTAGGAAGATCCTGAAATCAAGATTTTTTCAATCTGAGGAATTGAAGTTTCATGCCATTGTTACAGTTTATAATTATTTGTTATTCCTTTTTTCCTTACCTATGGCCGATTGAATAAAGTGGGAATTAAAAAAAAATCTCTTGTAGATCTGCTTTAAACTATTTGTCAATACTATATAATATATATATTTTATAATACTATATATGAATTAAATATGACAAATGAAATGTATTTTATGAAATTCGATATTTTACACAAGGGATCTTCTGGGGAGATCCTTCGGATTTTATTAATAGTTTTCGATTTATTGACTACGAATTATTGATGTATTTGTTATTTTTTGATTACCCAGTACATCTTATTATTTGCACTTCTGATATGAGCGGGGTCATAACATTCCATTAGGCAATTATTTCAAGTTAGAGGCAGAATATCTGCTATTATCCCTGCACGGATATTATTATTCAATACCAACCGGATCAGCCGACTAAATCTTTGCTGTCATAGCAGTTGCCCACCGACCTTTCAATAAATACTTTGTTTTTGAAGTTATCATAAAAACACTTTTAGTTAATTAACAAACATTCATTTGACTACTGTAGCATCCTACATGCTTAAAAATTTCTTCATTATAATAATGGGAAAGTTTGTTTACATAAATATCCAGAGGCCATGCAATGTTTAAAAAGCTCTGGTCACATCTTTTTTGCGATTAATCTCAATAAAACTTAAAGAAATCATTACTTTTAAAGCCACCTATTTATTCTTTAAATTTTTGTACACTTATGGACTATTCATTTCTACAATTTATATATAAGAATACATCATATTTAACAAACAATTAATGCCTACGAATTACTCACAGTGAACATTTTCATTAATTTAATTTTTTGTGCGGCAACCTCAACTACTACGCCAAATGCCATTTATTAAAATCGGTATTGCCCGACCAGAATCGCGCAACTGGCAATGCAACGTACAATTGGAGTCATAAACATGAAACAGAAGAAAGAACATGGCGCAGGGCTACTGTGGGTTAACCGCAAATACGGCAAAACCGAGTGTTAAATTAATTGCCACAAACAGCCCCAGAATTCAAAATTAATTTTCAGTTTTTGCTTTTGGCGCATTGCCTTTTCAAGCCTGCCAATAATTTGTAATGACCAACAACTGCGGCGGCAAAAGCAGTACACTGAGAAAAAAACCAAACAATCAACAAATTGCAATCGATTTAATTTTAATTTATTCCTATGAGCCTATCGTTTAGTTTTCAAAATTTGATTCTAGCTAAATTGTATATTTTTAGGACAAAAAAAAATTATTTTCCAAATCTTTTTGGAATCCTTTCATCCTTATATAGTATTATAATATTTTAATTAACAGTCTATAATATTTTGCTGTGTAGATAATGTTGTTGTCGCTGGCACTGTTCTTGTTGTTATTGCTTTTAATTTGCCAGCGTGCCGCAATTAAAACATTTTACTTTGATGGAGCGGCCGACACAGCCACTACCATTAATAAATGCTCAACAATCAGCTGGAAATTTAATGGACGTAAAGTTTGGATTTGCCTGCTGCAACATTTTGCGGTTTTTGGCAAAAATTGTGGCCAATGTTTCTTTTTTTCCCCCCTTTACTTTTTCTGCACTTTGTTTTTTGTTTTGCTGCGCCCACCGCAAAAGCCAAAGCGACAAATCCTGTGCGTGATTGCAATAAATTTTTTGACTTTGGCGATGCTTAAAATGCAGTTGCAAACAAAATGCTGCCAGCGTTTGCACAAACAAACCAAAGCCAATGAAGAACAGTGGGCCAAAATAGTTTCTCAGCGGCGAAAACATTTTAAACCATTTCACCAACAAGATTTTTTTAACATACCTAATTTTCTAAAAAAATATTTAAGTTACTACAATTGGATTCCGAGGTAGTCATTTGTATACCCTGTATTTAGAATAGGGTTAGTGCGAACCCATAGATATATTATTTATTAGCATGACAAGACAATTCAATGTAGACATAAATGAACGCATAAATGTAGAATCCGGCTGAATTGACATTTTCCAAAGTTCGTAGGCACTTAGACCCTCAAAATTCCTAGCCAACATGAGTTTACTTTATATGTATGTATTATTTTATTATGGATTATATGGATTAATGATGTTCCATGCCTATTCAGGTCCACAATTTTTCAATACTGTCAAAATTTTCAAAAGCTATATTATATACTAATTTTTAAACCATTATCATACTTGATTTGAAATTTCATAGAAATTTGTTAATCGTCTCGGAAAAACAATTTTACTCGAGAACTACACCCACCAACTGAATTAGCAGATCAATCTTCTTCTTTATCTTTGTTCTCTTCTTATGCGCATTTATCAGTTTACATTTTTTGGGTTACAGGGTACAACATTATCGATCTTGCTCGATTGTAGCAACACCTCCTTCTTTCATTTCAAAAGTGAAACAAAAATTGTTTTTTTTTGAGAGGTGATCAGTTGCATCATAAATCAAATATAAATTTTGCAATGAAAAGTGGGATTCTATATTGTTGTATACCTTATTGAAGTTTATTTAACAATATTTTTTATTTTTACAATATTTTAAACGATTTATTTTTATACTCTGTACATGAAATGTACAAGAGTATATTAGGTTTGCGGGAGCTGAAAAATGTAACAGGCAGAAGGAGGCGTGGCAGACCCCACAAAGTATATATATTCTTGATCAGCGTGACAAGACGAGTCGATCTAGCCCTGTCTGTCTGTCTGTCCGTCTCTCCGTCCGTATGAACACCTGGATCTCAGAGACTATAAGAGATAGAGACACAAAATTTTGCACAAAGATGCGTTATGTGTGTATTCTATACGAGTTTGTTTTATTTTTTTGATTTTCCCCCCCACTTCCCCTCTATGGGGGTTTTTCCGATTTTCCATTCGTATAATCGCCTATATCTCAGAGACCATAAGACCTAGGAACACCAAATTTTAGTCGAAGGTGCCTTGTGTGAATACGCAGAAAATGTATATTTTGGAATTTCCCTCCCTCCCCCCTCTCCCCCGCAAATGCGATTTTCTCTAACTCCCGTAATTCTTGGAATTTCGAACTAACTAATTTTGGAAATACCCCCAGTTGGTTATTATGTGTCCGTATGCCAAATTTCATTATGATAGACCGATTTAACAAGAAGTTATAGCCATAAATATATTTGCTGATGCAGCGCTGCTGCAGCGCTGCTCAAGCGCTGCTCAAGCGCTGCCCGCGGCTGTTGTTGATGTTGCTGTTTGGTTGACTGCGAAAATGCTTACACAGACACAAATAGACGCGCATGAACATACATACACTCACACAGACGCAATTGCTATGTAAATGTGCAATTATACACCCTTTACGTGAGTTCGAATACCGAGAATGGTAAAATCGATTAAATTTTTTAAAATTTTCTTTTTTTTTCTAGTAAATTTTTTAAATTAGTAAACATATGTACAGAGTATTTCAATGTCGGGACACCCGACTTTAGCTTTTTTACTTGTTTCATTTTTCACAATGCAATGCAATGGGCGCATTCCGCATGTAATTAACATTTGTGACTTAAGATTGAATATTAATGATTAGTCTCGGGAGAATGTTTATGATTACAGCCATTTAACTATTTTTTAACAAAACAAAAAAATCACAGGTAATTATTTAACTAAAATTCACAAATAAAAAAAAACGATATCACTATTGTAATAATTGTAATCATCAGTAATTATTAATTATTAATTGAAATGATTGTTAGGGTAACAAATTTTCGGATTTTTTACATTTCGTAATTCCAGAACAATTCTCAATTTTCTGCATAAATTTCTTATGTTCAAGCTATTGATAATTGCAACCACTGTGCAGTGCGCAAGAAAGGGGCACAGACAATAACAAGATAGAACGCTACAGTCGAGCAAGCCCGACAGTAAAATAGCCTGTACTCTCCACAAAAAAAGAAAAATTAAAAAAAAAAAAAATTAAAAAAAAAATTAAATTATTAAAAAAAATTAATGAATTAATTAATTAAATTAAATTAGAATATATGTTTATGTTTAGTTTTAACAGCATACATTTACATCACGTACCTATGCGTGTTTATATGCGTGTATGTATGCAGCACAAAGTTGAACCAAAGCAGCAACAACAACAACAGCTGCGGGCAGCGCTGCCGACAGAGCTGCAGGCAGCGCATGAGCAGCGATTTTACTTATGGCTATAACTTTCTTCAGAATTGACCTATCATGATGAAATTTGGCACACGGACACATTAGTACTAACTGGATGTACCTACCAAAATTGATTTCAAAATTCCGAGAATTACGGAAGTTATAAGAAAAAACATGAATTGCGGGGGAGTGGGGGGGTGCATCGAAAAAAAACTCAAACTCGTACTTTCTCGGTCTTAGGAGAATATGGAAACCAAGTTTGGTTATTCTAGCTCTTATACTTTCTGAGATCCTTGCGTTCATACGGACAGACGGACAGACGGACAGACGGACAGACGGACAGACGGACGGACGGACAAGGCTATATCGACTCGGCTTCTCATCCTGATCAAGAATATATATACTTTGTGGGGTCTGCCACGCCTCCTTCTGTGTGTTACATACATGCGCACAAAACTAGTATAGCCTTTCACCCTTTGGGTACAGGCTATAAAAATAGTGTGCGTCCATGTGTGTGTGTGTGTGTGTGTGTTGGCACCAAACCAAAGACAAATAATGTGGCCAAGCCCTGGTCGGGAGGGGTGTTGGGGAAGCATGTGTCGGAGGCACAGACAATGCCGGTTGCAAGTATTTCAATATTCGCAGCCAATGTTGTTCAATATTTGCGCAATGCTGCTACGCCTGCCAGTAGGCAACGTGCTCGTTGCTTGATGCCTCGCTTCTCGCTTCAAAGTATTTTTGTTATTT